GATGACACCAAGATGAGTGGTGTGGTTGGCACTCCTGAAGGATGGGATGCCATCCAGAGGGACCTGGACAAGCTTGAGTGTGGCATATTGAGAGGCATGGACTCAGGGGGTGAAGAACTGAGACATTTTATTCAAAAGGACACAGCCTTTTATGACCAACACAAACAGGAAAACATTCCTTATAAGGCAAAAAGTGTAACCGCAGCATCTGATTGTCTGCTAGTTGTTGCATGGAGACATGACAGGTTCTCGGGGCTGCAAATTCATTCCTGTGATGAGTTACTCTGTGCTCTGCAAAGGTCTGGTTCATTCCAGACCTTCAGCCTACCTATTTCCCACAATTCCACCTTCTTTATTTTTTAAGGACACTTGTTTAATTGTAAACATTATAAACATTTCAATAAATATAGTAAAAAAATATACATGTAAACTAATCCTAACTGCAACATATATTTAACTAACTATTTAACTCTCATCCCTTAAAGAGATCCCCAAATAGGTTAAACCTTGCATCAGGCAAATAAAGAACCCAGCCATCCCAATTGTCCCTCATTCCACCGAAGGATTTTGTGCTGTGCCTTGGTGCTTTAGGGATTTGTCATTTGTCAGCCAGCTCTCCAACCAGGCAGATCCAGAACACCGTAGCAGGAGACAGGCTGCAAAATCATGTGGATGGTTGTGGCAATGCTGGTTTGACCCATTTTGCAGGCACCCATCATGGACCAAAACCTGTAGAAACACAAGCATACCCTCTTCTCCATGTTATGATGGGAAAAGGTCCTTCCCACTGACCTGTTTGCAAGTTTTTAATTATAACTTAGGCTTTTTCCTGAGGTTTCACATCATCTGTAATTAAGTGACAGTGGATAGGAGGACCTTCCTCCTTCCATTGGTTTAAAAAATTTGATACATAGCAGGCTTTGGCAACACAGCCTTTTGACAGTTTGGCAGCAGCCTTTAGACAAACCACAGACCCCACACCCCATGACTGGAGGAGTTGCAGGGAGGCTGCTTTTCTCCAAGTACACCAGAAGAGAAGAAGGGCTCGACCTTCTCTCCCCTCCTATTTATATGTCTACTTACATAAAGAAATAGAATGAGATACTGGGATATGGTACTTCCTTGGTTTCGACCTTGTTACCAAGGAAGGCCTAAAACCAAACCACTACAGAGGGGAAACCCACACTGACTTCCCCAACCACTTCCCCATGTGTAGTACTGGGATTTTATCCCCTCCCACAGTGTGTAGGGGTTTTGTTTGGGCAGATCCCCTAGTGTTGAGCAGTCAAGTGGTCTCAGCTAAATTTGCCTCCCAATGCTTCCATGTCCCATTACCTAATGTTCTTAACATAGTTTTCAACAGTCCATTATACCTCTCAAACTTCCCAGAGGTTTGTGGGTGATAAGGGATATGATAGATCCACTCGATGCCATGTTTCTTTGCCTAAGAATTTATGAGATTATTCTGAAAGTGAGTCCCATTATCTGATTCAATTCTCTGTCACCACAGAATGTGCCTCTCAAGGCCTAAGATGGTGTTTCAAGCAGTGACCTGGTTTACAGGATATGTTTCCAGTCAGCCAACTGTTACCTCCACCATGGTGAGTATATAGCTCCTGCTCTGGCATGTTGGTGGCAGTGGTCCAATGTAGTCAATTTGCCAGGCCTCACCATATTGGAAACTCAGCCACTGCCCTCTATTCCAGGGAGATTTTACTGACATGGTTTGCTTAATTGCCACACACATTTCACATTCATGAATAACCGATATGATAGCCTCTGTCTCAGTTTAATGAGACAGAAGTGTTTGCTAAGGAGGATGAGGAAGATCAAGCTCCTCCCTCTAAGTAATTGTAAATTAGAAATTTAGAGGCTCCAGTAGAGGAAGTATGGAGAGATAAAAGATAACAACCCTTTATTAAAGAATATATGCGCATAGGCAGCACAACAAAAGAACAAAAAAACCCCAACAATCCTCCACCCAAGATTCCCACCAAAAGCAGTTCAGTACTTTCTGCCTTTCGGAGCAATTCCAACCACGACCAGCAGGGGGCGATGTTGGATCACTGGAGGAGTAGACCGTGGAGTTGTTCTGTGGTGGTCGGCAGGGGGCACTGCAGGGCCCCAGTGCGTGGGAGAAACCGAATGGAGATCCCTTCCCCTACAGAAAGGGGAAGAAGAGGGAAAAGGAGTTCTTCCTATGGACTCATGCTGTTGACGTCTGACTCTGGCTGGGGTCCCCCCCTTCGTCGATGGATACAAGCTGCTGCCAACACAGGAAATAGAGAAGGGGAGTGGCAGCCTCTTCCCTCAAAAGTTCCTCCGCAGATAGCACTGGCTTCTCCGATGAAATCTGAGGCAGATCAGGCAGTGGGCAGGTGAGCCGGGGCCAAGGCAATTAGGTAACTTGACCAAAAACAAGGATGCAAACCTGGAGCTTTTTTTTCTCTCCACACCCACTCTCCTCCGAGTCCCAGGCAAAAGTACCATAGGATCCTGTTTCCTGAGGAGAAAAAAAAACCACCTCCCCCACAGTTTTCTCAGACCCATTAGTTTTGAATGTGGGACTGCTGGCTAGTTCTTTTGTGTGTGTGAATCACTCTAGCAACCCCCTCCCTCTTAAACACCTTTCTTTCACAGTGGTGCAGGGGAAAAAATTCCAAGCTGTTTTTTTTTTTTTAAAAGTAAACCTATGACAGCCTCCATGGTCAGGTCCACCCCTCGATCATGAGCCCATCTGTATGTCACATCTCTTCCCAGATGTCCTGATATTTCTTGGGTCCATCGGGCTATAAATAGCTCACCCTTCCGCTCCCAATCCAAGTCTACCTGGGCTATTCCAATCTTGGTAGCCTTATCCACCTGCTCATGGTTCTGATGTTCTTCAGTGGCACGACTTTTGGACATGTGAGCATTGACATGACGCACCTTCAGAGTCATCTTTTCCAACCATGTAGCGATGTCCTGCCACACTGCACCAGATAGGTGTCCCCCTGTGTAGTGGTTTGAACCTTGTTTTTCCCCCAGAGGCTAAGAAAAGTGGTAACCCCCAGGGGTGGAAACCCCTGGAAGTTTTGAAGTTCTGTCCAATGAGTACCCCTGCAGAAATGTAAACATATCACAAGCACCAGAAGAGAAGAGTTGTAGTTTGAGTAGTAGTAGAAGTAGCCATGTTGTAGGAGCCACGAGGAAAGGGGTCTGGAGCCCCTCGGGGCCTCTGGGGCCCCCCAGCCCCAGTTGGGGGCTACAGAGACTTGGAACAGTGTTAAGCTGGACTATGTGTCTGTAGCTGTGAGTTGGGAGATGTTTTCCATCATGAGTGAGCAGAGACAGAGCAGAAGCGGCGGTAGCGTCCAGAAGTTATGGCTAAAAGCCAACTGATAAGACCTGAACCGAAAGAGCAGCAGGAACAACATGCAGCACCGCAGAGAAGACTCCTGGAAGGAGAGCCGAGGAAAAGAGAACCCGCAGCAGAGCTACGGAGTTCTGGGGGTAAGAACTGATACAAGACCCCCCAAACTCCTTTGAGACCTCCTAGAAAGGAGGAAGATGATGGACTCTTACTTGAAAAAGCCTTGAAGTGCAACATGCACTGCAGAGAGGAGTTGAGAAGCTCAGTCGTCCTGAGAGCTGAACCAGGACGGTGTGGGAGGTTGGCCTTGGGGGGCCCTCCCTTGCTGCAAGCTACAAAGAAGCTCGCAGCCTGAGACAGGGCACAGAGGTCCTGCAAGGAGCTTGAATCTCCTGGAGATACCAGACCATCACGAAGACCCCTGCGTCTCGTGATATGACGTGGTGAAACGGCCTTGTCTGGGGTTACAAAGCCCACGGAAGAGAAGACCCCTCACTTGAAAGATGACGGGGCCGAGGGGCTTGGATATCCCCTCGTGAGTGCTGGCAGAGATCCAGCAACAGCTGCATGCATGAGAGAGAGAGATAGACTGCTTCTGCTACTCTGAAGAAGCTGCTGCCCTGAGAGACTGGAAGGGATCTGTCCTTCTTTCCCTCCTGGACTTTTATTTGGAGGGGAGAAGAGATCTGATCCATTGTAAATACTATATGTCATGGTAGAGATAGTTGTGATCGTGTGTATAATGTGTTATAGTATTTATTTGTACAGTCATTGTAATATATTCCCTTTCCCCATTCTGAGTCTGGTTGTGTTTTGTCTGGAAAAACCCATCTCACATTAGGTTGAGATGTGGGAGGGGGGATGGAGCTAGAGAATTGGATTTTGGGGCTATCTCAAACCATGACACCCTGCATTGCCAATAGTCCTTCTTCCATTGCTATAGCCACCCCTATAGGGCATTAACCAACATCCGGGAGTCAGTACAGAGGTATAGCACAGGTCACTTTTCTCATTCGGCAATCTTTAGGGTCAGTTTGATGGCTTTCACTTCTGCAAACTGGTTTGACTCACCCTCTCCTTCAGCAGCTTCGATGACCTGTTGTGTGGGACTCCACACAGTAGCTTTCCACCTCCGAGGGTTTCCTACAACATGGCAAGATCCATCAGTAAATAGAGCATAGCCTCTTTTGTTTTCTGGTAACTTGTTATATGGTGGTGCTTCTTGGGCACAAGTCACCTATTCAGGCAATGCTCCAGAATCTCTGCCTTCTGGCCAGTCCATAATCTCTTCCAGGATTCCTGGGAAACTGGGATTTCCCATTGTGTGATCATAGCTACCCACTTACCCCATGTAGCACTGGTTGCCTGATGTGTTGAGGGGATGTTCCCTTTGAACATCCAGTGCAGCACGGGCAAACGTGGTGCCAAGAGAAGACATACTTCTGTTCCAACAACTTCTGAGGCGGTTCAAACCCCCTCATAGGCTGCTAATATCTCCTTTTCAGTTGGAGTGTAGTGGGTTTCTGATCCTCGATAACCCTGGCTCCAAAACCCTAATGGTCAACCTCAGGGTTCTTCTGGTATTCTCTGCCAGAGGCTCCAGGTGAGACCATGCTCCCCAGTTGCTGTGTAGAGGATATTTCGCACAGTTGGTCCTGTTCGAACAGGCCCCAGGGCTACCACACAGGCTATCTCCTGTTTGATCTGCTCAAACGCCTGTTGTTGCTCAAGGCCCCACTCAAAATGGTTCTTCTTCCAGGTCACTCAATAGAGGGGGCTCACAAATTGACTGTAACCTGGAATGTGCATCCTCCAGAAACCCACGAGGCCTAGGAAAGCTTGTGTTTCCTTCTTTTTAGCCGGTGGAGACATAGATGCTATTTCGTTTACTACATCTAGAGGCACATGACGGCATCCATTCTGTCATTTTATTCCCAAGAACTGGATCTCCCATGCAGGTCCCTTTACCTTGCTTTGTTTTATGGCAAAACCAGTTTTGAGAAGAATTTGGATTATTTTCCTCCCTTTCTCAAAAACAACTTCTGCTGTCTTGCCCCACACAGTGATATCATCAGTATATTGCAGGTGTTCTGGAGTTCCCCGCTGTTCCAGTGTAGTCTGGATCAGTCCATGGCAGATGGTTGGGTTGTGTTTCTACCCCTGGGGCAGTTGATTCCAGGTATACTGGACACCGCTCCATGTGAAGGCAAACTGTGGCCTGCACTCTGTTGCCAGAGGAATGGAGAAAAACATATTGGCAATATCAGTTGTGGCACCACTTGGTTGCCTTTGACTCCAGTTCATACTGAAGTTCCAACATGTCTGGCACAGCAGTACTCAGAGGCAGCATGACTTCATTCAGGCCATGATAGTCCACTGTCAGCCTCCACTCCCTATTAGACTTCTGCACTGGCCATATGGGGCTGTTAAAGGGTGAGTGGGTCCTTCTGATCACTCCCTGTTTCTCCAGTAGACAAATTAGCTCATGGATAGGAATTATGGAGTCTCAGTTGGTGTGATACTGCCATTGGTGCACTGTTCTGGTGGCAATGGGCACTTGTTGGTCTTCAACTTGCAGCAATCCCACGATGGAAGGATCTTCTGAGAGGCCAGGCAGGGTAGATAATTGTTTGATCTTCTCTGTATTCACAGTAGCCCATCAATACCCCTTGGGATCTTTGAAGTATATCCTCCTGAGGTAATCAATGCCAAGGATACTAGGGGCCTCTGGACCAGTCACAATGGGGTGCTTTTCCCACTTGTACCCTGTTAAACTCACTTCAACCTCCAATACCAGTAATTCCTGGCATCGCCCTGTCACTCCAGAGATCCAGATGGGTTCTCCACTTCTATGCCTCGATGGCATCAGTGTGCACTGTGCACCCGTATCTACCTCTGTGGATGTGATGTGTCAGGCCATCGAATCCACACAGTCTAGTAGACCCTATCATCCCTTTCCTCCTCCTGGTTGAAGGCAGGGAGCCTCTCTTCCTGTTCCTGGTCAGAGTATTCACTGTCTGACCTTTGCGATGCCAGACCAGAGGTCTTCTCACCAGGATCAAAGGAATTGATCTAAACCCTTTTACGTCTGAGAGGTCGATGATTTCTTTCCTGGGTCTCCACAGCAACTACATGGACAGATTTCCTGGGTGACCCCTTCTTAACCGTTCTCTTCCCTCTTAATTCACATACTCGGGCTTCCAGCTTAGCGGTGGGTTCACCACCCCACTTCTTCATGTCTTCCCCCTGGTCACTCAGAAAGAACCAGAGTTCACCATGTGGCCTGCGCTTGGGGATTTCTTTCCCTCTGACTGGGGCAGGAGGGGACCGATCTCTTGGGTTGCCCCTGAGAGCTGAGGTGCTGGCCCGTGGGAATGAGGAAGTGCCCAGAATTTCTTCTACATTTTGGAGCCAGGAGGACATCACCTCTACAGTTGGTGGATCCATCTTTGGGTAATATACTGTGTGGTGGTTTGGGCTAGGCCTTCCTTGGTGACCAGTTTGTAACCAAGGAAGGGTCCAGATTTACCCAGTATTCCCTACGATTTTTACGTAAGCTGGACTACAAGAAGAAAGGAGGAGAGGCCTTCGCTCTCTTTCCTTCCGGCGGCTTGGAGGTGCAGGTTCCCTGTTGAGTCTGCCGTGTTGGGGAGTGAGGCCTGGTAAGGCCTTGTCGACCTTGGGAGGTAGAGGTTGCCGGCGATCGTTCCGGAGCAACTCTCAGTTGTCCCAAGGAGAGTGGTGGGATATTTCTTTGCTAACTCTTTAGTTACTAGATCTCGGGCTACTGATTAGGATATATATATATATATTTTATTTTGGTTTTGTTCCTTTTCCCTTCCCCCTTCCCTTTCCCTTGTGAAATTGTATATATATTTCAATTGTATATAACTGTAATATAAGTATAAATATATTTATATATATCACTTTAGCTGTCTTTCTCTCGTTTCGGGTTTTCTTAGTTGTTTTTTTTCTCCCTCTTCTCCCTGAGGTTTGGGGGGGGGGGGGACTTCTTGTGGTAAGGTTTGGAGACTTGGCAGGAAACCAGCTTCAAACCATATCAATACTGTTAGCAGGCTGTGAGAATATGATGCAGGGGAGCTTTGAACCACCTTCCTCCACATGGCTATTGTGCAAGGAGCATCCTCTGGGTCTTTGGGGGTATCATCCCTTCTTAGGCTACTATAGGTGATTTCCAGCACTGTTAATTCTCTCAAGTACTGGATACCTTCATCTGCAGTGGCCCACTTTCTTGGGGACCTCATTAGTTCTTCCTTGAATGGATACCTTTCCCTCATGCTTAGGAGGAGCTGTCTCCGAAGACTGCAAATTGTTCTCTCCTTTCCAATTCCTCTTTCAATTTTGTGATCTGTGGCAAGGGATCGCAGCTGTTGGGTTTCATGACCTTCCAGTTGTTGACTATCAGTCCCGTTGTCCCAGTATCAAAGCAGCCAGGTAGGAATCTGCTCACCGGGCTGGCGGCTGCAATCTTTCCGCAAGTCCCGGAGTTCTGATGAGATCAGGGACTGGGTAACCTCAGTTTCCTGTTTGTTTTGTCCGACTTCCTTTACCCAAATCCTTCCACACACCCTGCCACCCAGGAACTGGGCACCTTAGGGCGCATCCCAATATATCCTCACCTAAAGTTTGTTTTCTCCTACACCAGTATAACACCAGATTCCACAAACTCTATAATGTGCTGACAGTATTAGTAACAGTAACATTACTAAACAGCTCACATAAGGATTAACAAGGAGCCCGGGAGACTTCATTATAAAGCCATTTATATCAACATTAGGGAGGGAGGGTGTCTCAGTCTGAGAAGACTGGAATGTTTACTAAAGAGGATGAGTTATAAGATAGACCAAACTCCTCTCTCTCAGTAATTGTAAAATCAGAATTAAGGGGGCTTTAATCGAGGAAGTGTAGAAAAAACAGAAGAAATAACAACCCTTTATTAAAAGATATATGTATGTTGGCAAAAACAGTAACAGAACACAAAAAAACTAGACAGTAATACTAGAAAAGAAAGAGTCTGAAAGAATACTTCTCTGTCCTTTAGTGCAGTCCTAATAGTGGCCTGCAGGGGGAACTGTTCGATCGTTGAAGGTGCAGAGCCTGCAGTTCTCTGTCGTGGTCGGCAGGGGGTGCTGTTGGGCTCCGGTGGTCACCACGTGGGGAGAGGGGTCCAGAGGGAGCAGTCTCGGACTGCGGGAGAAGCCGAGAAGGAAATGGGGGACCCTTCTCTCAGTGGGAGGAAAAAAAGGGAAGGGAAGCAGTTCACTCCCACGGGACTCACCTCTGTCCCAGGTGACAGCGTCTCAAAACTCCTCCCTTCTCTCCTGCGGGCACGTAACTCTCCGATGAAACACAGCAGATCCAGGGAGCGGGACAACCAGGCAAGTCGAAGCCAGCAGTCCGAGTTGACCAGGATGAGAAGTCAAAAAAACCAGATTCCAGTCCCTCTCCCCAAATGCCTGCATGCAGACCCTGTCTCCCCCCAAGAGCCAACTCTGCCGTCTGACACTCTCCCTTCTGAACAGCGTCAGCCCCCCCCCCTCTCTCCCCAACCTCCCTGATGCTCCATCACCGAGGAATGCAGTCTGGCAGAGTCAGTTCCTTTGTAAGGCTAATTACCTCCCTTCCCCCTTCCCTATTCGAAGCTCCACTTCTCTTACAGGGAAGCAGGGAAAGAAAAATTCCTCTCTCAAATTTATAACAGAGGGAAGGGTGTACTCCTCCACTGTCTCCAGATAGCTCACCAGAAGATAACTCCCCCAGCATAACAAGGCTGTTAGTGTAAAAGCAAAGCACGGAGCCATTGTTTATATTAGTATGTTCCTGAAAATTAACAAAATAAAGTGATAAGCAGTGCAACCAGCAAACTCCATGTCCCTCACAGGAGCTTGCTATTCAAATAGCTACTTTTACTATAGCATGCAATATATATATATATATATAAAACTACCTTTATCTCGCCCCAGGTTGGGCATCAGAAAGGACTGTGGTGGGTTGATCTTGGCTGGATGCCAGGTGTGCACCCAGTCACTCTATCACTCCCCTTCCCAGCTGGACAGGGGAGAGAGTAAGGTGGAAAAACAACTTGTGGGTTGGGATAAGGTCGTTTATTTAAAGCGGAAGCTTGCGCGCACAAAAGCAAAGTGAAGCGAAAGATAGCAGGGTTTATTCTCTACTTCCCATGAATAGTGATGGTCGGCCACTCCCGAGAAGCAGTATGCGTAACAGTTCCTCATCAGGCAGCCACTGGAGACAATGAATGCCTGCCTTCCTGCTCCTTGCCTTAGGTTTTTTTATCCCAACTGGCGTCATATGGTATGGAATATCCCTTTGGTTAGTTTGGGTCAACTGACCTGGTTGTTTCCCCTCCCAGGATCTTGCCCTCAATTAAGGAAGGAATGTTGCAGTGCTGATGCTGTGCTTAGCAGTAGCCAAAACACCAGTGTGTTATCAACACCCTTCTAGCTACCAATGCAAAGCACAGCACTGTGAGGGCTGCTGTGGGGAAATGAACTTCAGCTTAACCAGACCCAATACAGTGGGTATCACCAAAACGGTGTCTTATACACACTCTCTGTAATTTCTGATGGACTGTTAATAATGGATCATTTGCAGCAACTGCCCAGGGCACACCTAATGACTCAGTGGTGATAACTCCCCTCTGGGGAGGTATTAGCACCTTCACACCCAGCCTGAGGGGTCATCTTCTGAGACAGTTTGAATGATAATACACGATCCAGTCTGAGAGTCCAAAAACTGAATGATTGTACAAAACTTTCGGTATATCTAGGGTCCAGAGAAGGAGGGACATACATAGTTAGGGTTAAAGGTCCAGGAAGCCCAGGGAGATATTTTTCTTCAGATAAACAGATATTTCTTTATCACAATCACAGCAGATGGGGTAAACAAAGTTATAAAAGGGATTTACCTCTGGAATCTAGAAGTTTATTTAATTAAAAGATAGTGTACACAGGTTTCCCTTGTCTGTGTTTAAATCTCAAGGTTTCTCGCTAAGGTAATTTCTTATGTCTGCTGTGTCATAAAGATTTCATACACTCCAACAATCAAGGACTGAGGGGTCATCTTCAAGGACTTCAAGGTGCTGATTCGATTAGTTAATGGGACAGGAGCACAAGTGGTGTTCACCTCAGTTCCTGCAGTAGCAGGGATGAATGAGGAGACGAGTAGGAAAACTCATAAATAGGTGGCTAAATAATTGGTGCCACCGGCAGAATTTTGGTTTTTTCAACCATGGGGCAAATTCTATGGTACCCAGCCTGCTAGAGTCAGATGGGCTTCATCTATCTAGCAAGGGCAAAAGGACTCTAGCCTGTAAGTTGTCTGGGTTGATCAAGAGGGCTTTAAACTAGGTTTGAAGGGGGAAGGGGTTGAAACCAGGCTCTCCAGAGATGAGCCTGAGGGTGGAAAGTCAGAGTTAGAAGTGAAATCAGCAGCCCAGCTGAAGTGCATGTACACCAATGCACACAGTATGGGTAACAAACAAAAGGAGTTGGAAACCATCATGCAGCAGGAAAGCTATGACGTAGTCGCCATCATGGAAACATGGTGAGATGACTCGCATGACTGGAGTGCTGCCATGGATGGCTACAAGCTCTTCAGAAGGGATAGGCAAGGTAGGAGAGGTGGAGGGGTGACTCTATATGTTAGAGAGTCTCTTGACTCTGTAGAACTTGAAGTCAGTAACGATAAGGTTGAGTGCCTGTGGATCAGAATCAAGGGGAAGGGCAACAAGGTTGACATCCTGGTAGGAGTCTGTTATAGACCATCCAACCAGGATGATGAGGGTGATGAATTATTCTACAAGCAGCTGGCGGATGTCTCAAAATCGCCATCCCTTGTTCTTGTGGGCAACTTTAACCTGCCAGATGTCTGTTGGAAACTCCGCACAGCAGAGAAGAGTCAGTCTAGGAGATTCATGGAGTGTATGTTCCAGTTGGTAAATGAGCCTACCAGGGGTGGGGCCCTGCTAGACCTGCTGTTCACAGAGAGGGACTGGTGGGAGATGTGGTGGTTGGAGACTGTCTGGGGTACAGTGACAACAAAATAATAGAGTTTTCAATATTCAGGGATGCAAAGAGGGTCATCAATAAAACTTCTACCGTGGACTTCTGCAGGGCAGATTTCAGCCTACTCAGACAACTGGTTCAGAGGGTACCTTGGGAAACAGTCCTTGAAAACAAAGGGGTCCAGGAGGGATGGACATGCTTCAAGAAGCAAGTCTTAAATGCACAGGAGCAGGTTGTCCCAGTGTGCCGAAAGGGGAGTTGGCGGGGAAGATGGTCAGCCTGGTTGAACAGGGAAATTTTAAAGGAAATTAGGGGGGAAAAGAGAGCTTACTAACTGTATTCATGCTTAATTAGATGCTGCTATTTTTTTGGTCTGTGGTTGGCCCAGTCGTCTGTGAGAGTTTATTCTTTTCCTGTCAAGTTATGAGACAACAAGCACTGATAAACGAGAACTTTCATCCTTTGAAGGGAGCATCTTGTATAAACTGTAATTAATTGGTACCTCACTATTGGCTGATGGTCCTTCAAGGGCATTTCAAGGAAAAAGTGAAGAGGAGGTTGATGAAGTAAGCCCCCAGACTCATTTAGGAAAGACCCCCTGAGGCATATCACGCAGGTGAGGGGAAATTCCAGAATACCCATGCATGCGCAGAAGAGATGCCACTTGCATAATGGAGGGAGGGACTGAAGGCCTCTAGATGGGCACTGCTGGCCATACCTTCCTGGGTAGACATCACCAATTAATTGTATAAAAAGAAGAGAGTGTGTGATGGGAGTGGAATGCAAGTTTCACATCAAAGGACAATGTTGCCTTTTGCAGGGATGCCCGTCATCTTGTGAGCCTGCCAACACTCCAAGAATGCAGCTTCTGCTATGGGTAATTCTAGGCATTCTGAGATCAGTAAGAACTTCATAAGCAACATCTGAGTCTGAGTGAGAGGGGGAGTCGTACTGAGGGCTTATTTTCCTACTCCTTCCTCTCTCTTGGGTTTTCATTTTGTTGGTCACCTCTTGGTAATAAATATTGTTTTTGCTGAGCTTTCAACAGTGTATGGTTTCAGTTTCAGCATCCTTTCCCGCTACATAATTCTGATGATGAGGATGGGATGCTGAACATGAGACAAACCGTTGCCGGGCCGGGGCCGTGCTGGGGCCACTCTGGGGCTGCACTGGGGCCGCACTGGAGCCCGGTCTGGGCTGGGGTTGGGCCACTTCTTGTTGAGATAACTGGGACCCGGCAGGAGGGGCATTCCTGACAGGTTCGTGCTGCCTCATGTTGAGAGTGTAGCCACCTTGCCGTGTTTTTGTTGACTCTCCTGTTAACTGTGTTGTCTGTCCATTGTGTCGTTGTGAGTTCGGGGTGTTGTTAACGGTACCATAATATCTGTTAAACTGGGGTTTTTCTTGGACCCTACAGTGATGGTGTGTGCAGTGTTGGCTGGTTGCCATCCAACGAGACTCTTTCTGAGTTATGTGTTAGTGTGCGTAAGCGTGTTAGGGGTTGACCACATCCCACAGAGTTACAGCCCACTCCCTCCCTTACTCTGTCCACAAGAGGAGGGATACACCTGTCTGACTACTAGCCCCGTTGTCTCCCTTCCCCCCCCCTCTGTCTACGGAGCAGAGGAATGCACTTCAGACTGGGAGTTTTCAAACTCCAGCCTTGCTCTGATGGGGTTTTTGTTCCCCCTCCCTTCCCTGCCCAGTCCTGAGCAGTCTGGAGGTTTTAACTGGGATCTGTAACGGGCGGGCGGAGGGTTACAAAGGCACGCACCCTTTTGTTTCCCCCCCTCCCTTTTGTTGTACTACTGAATCCCTAATCACCACCCCCCTCGCTCGGTGGCGGTGCCCTGGTGGAGGATTCCCAGAATGGGGTCACACAGCCTCCATCATTGTTCTTCTCAGAAAACCTCTAGACACATGGAGGGTTCCTTTACTCCAGCCCACTTTTTACTCTAAGGAGTCTCTCATTCACACTGCACAACAATCGCTTCATTCCTTCTCCGGTCAATTCCCTTGTGGGAGGATGGAACCGTGGTATTTCGCTCCATACCCTGTACCCCGGTACGTCTCAAGCACACTCACGCACACTCCTCTTTTTT